CAAACAAACAGCAGTCAGCTGACAAAGGCTTCTTGCTGGTGAATGGAAGTAGGTCACTGAGTATTTTGCCTTTACAGTCTGGCTTAATATCGGTGTTGTACGCAAAACAGGAATAAAACTGCACTGGAGACGGAGAGAGACTCTAATTTTGTCTTTTCTATGAAAATGAGCATTAGCATTCTGCATTAATGTGCAATGCCTCCCCAGCACCCGATATCTGGATAATTAAAAAAGCAGAATAAAGCGCAGAGCAAAGCACACTCTAAATTAAACAACAAAAAGCCCTCACTGGTCAGCCTGAGTTTAAAGACATCTAAGTATGAGTAATCGGGCAAAGAGGAATTTTCCTGAAGGAACATAAAAGAAAATGAAAGCTCCGCATACAAGACCAAATAAAATCTTCTGTCTCTCGCAAATGCAAATGCTGGCTGCCCTTTTTACACAAACATATTAAAGGAATAAAATTGGAGGAAAATTAAAAAAAAAAAAAAAAAAAAGAAAAGAAACGTCAGTAAAAGAAGAAAAAAACTTAATAAATTCATTTTGAAGAAAAAAAATCTTTAAAAACAAACAAACTATCCTTCAAACAAATTTCTTCATGATACGATCCCTGCAATCATGTGGTTCTAAATTAGACGGTTAAATACGACTGAAAAAGGAAGGCACAATTTCACAATCATTTTAAAAGCAATAATTATAATCATTTTCTTTGATATCCATGTGGCAGGCCACTGATACTGTGGATGCATAAAACTACTTGACTAAAGATCTGGAAAAGTTTTTCCAACTCCCATCTAAGCCTTGCAATACCTCCGTGCAGTAAGTAACAAACCATGCCCACTGCAAGGAGTGCACATGAAGCAAATGGAAAAAGAGGGTAAGATTGCCACTTCTGGCAAAGAGAGGGGCAGAGGCAAAAAAGGGACCCCACGTGTCATCTTCCCAGCAAAAGATGCTGACCCCTGGAAAGCAGTACCTAAAGGGGAGCTGTAAGAAAGAAGGGGACGGACTCATTGGCAGGGTCTGTTTTGATAGGACGTGGGGAAATAGTTTCAAACTGTAAGAGGGGAGATTTAGACTGGATGTAAGGAAACAGTGTTCTACACTGAGGGGTGGTGAGGCACTGGCACAGGTTGCCCAGAGAAGTGGTGGTGTCTGCTCCCAGAGACACTCAAGGTCAGGCTGGACGGAGCTCTGAGCACCTGATGGAGCTGTGGGTGTCCCTGTTCAGTGCAGGGAGTTGGGCCAGGTGGCCTCTGAGGGTCCCTTCCAACTCAAACGGTTCTATGAGTCTATGAAATGTAAAGGTAACGCCACCCTGGGGCTTCTGTTTCCTTCCTCATTTTCTAAAAGATCATCTAGTCATGATGAGAAATGTGGACAAGCAGTAAACCAGAAAGAAAGTTTGAGCTGACCACTCTCAATACCAGTGATCAATTCATGGGTAGTTGCCTATACACGTAACATGAAGCCAAAAGAATCGTATCACGGAATCATGGAGTGTCTTGGATTGGAAGGGACCCCAAAGATCACCTCATTCCAACCCCTTGCCATGCACAAGGCTGCCAGCTGCTAGATCAAACAGACAGAATCACAGAACGGCTCGGAGACCAGGAACACACAGCCAGGAGAAAAGCCCAGTGATATGAGCAGCAGTGCTTAACAATACAGTCTAAACAATTGTGCTCAGTTGTCGCACCACAAATATGTTGCGTGTGCATGCGAGTGCACACACCAGAGTGGTCTGCAAGTGTTTGAGTGTAGTGTTTGCACATCCCAGCAGAGAACTTGCAGGATGAAAGGAGAGCCGTTCCCTACTGTCTACCAGGAAACCTACTGAGGTTATGGTTTTCTCTTGGCCTTCTAGATGCCAATCAAACATTATAATTTCACGAGCTTTAAGTCTGTTCTCTCTCGCAATGCTCAGAAGCACCCAATGCCAGATAGGCAACCGACTGCTGCAAATTCAGACTTGAAGTGTTGAGGAAGACAGGTAATGTTTCTAGAAATATCTAAGAAGAAATGCCATCCCCAAACCCAGAAGGGTGACAAAGTTCAGTAAGTATCTTTTGATCTTCACGGCGGTTGCCATAATGTGCTTTTTTCCCCCCAGTAATTATAAAGAAAAAAACTGCAGTTGCCACAGCAAAGTCCCAGGCAGCTCCCGCAGCCACACTACAGCTTTAAGAGGAGAAAGAAAAACGAACCCAACAGAACTAACACTGTTATTTTAAGAAGAGTCACATTATTTGGATTGTTCTGGCAAAGGAAACAGTGACTTCAAAGTTAGCAAAGCTAGTCAAAAACAGGGGAAAAATATCTTGTGAGAAGTTTAAAAGCTTATTTTTTTTTTTTTTAAATTTCACCAGGACTAACATTGAACCATTTTCCAAGAACATGTGCTTTTTTTTTTTTTTTTTTTTTAAATGAATTTTTATCCAAAAAAGTTTTCAAAATCATCACAGAAACTTTAATTGACCAGCAGAAGAAACCCAAGAAGGAAAAAAAGAATTGAGAAATGAGACCAAGATTTTTGAGAAATGAAAATATTTGTCAACAATTCTGAAATCCATTTAGATAAAAACTGATGAAGGTTTTAATTACAACAGCAAGAAATACTGTTGTGGATAACACTGCAAAGAGAGAATTTCTCATTAAAAAGAAGGCCCTTCCAACATCACATGATTTAGTGTAAAAATTGGGACCAGGACAAACTGGAAATAGTGTTCTCCAGCTTCCTCAGCTGGTGCCTTACTAGCCTCCAGTTAGCACTGAGTAGCTCCTGCCATCCTTTGGCAACAAGCCCTCTATTACCATCACTAGTGTTTTCGATTGGGAATTCCACCACCATGAGATTCTTCCCCACATCTCTGCTAGCTCTAATTTACAGGACTGAAATGTATGTCAAGTGCAGGCAACGCAGCTCTGTGAAGAAATATCAAATCAATGTGATGAACCAACTGCAGGAATCAGACATCAATAACAAAACAGTTCAAAATTCAATTCCTGTCTGAGCTGTTCATCCAAGGCACTAAGTGTCTACCATGGTTACCAAAGAAAGGCAACCGTGGCCCTTCTCTGGACCTTCTCTGGACTCTGTTATCTCTTATCTGCTGGACTACTTCAAAATCAAAAGCAACGTTACCCTAAAACCAGCATTTATTGGACCTAGGCTAGGTTTTGCTGACCTCAGTCTGGCAGGAGCTGGACCAGATTCAAAGAGATTTCAGCATGACTTGCTGCATATTCCCTTCAACCACCACCGATTCTTCAAAACACAACTTTTCCTCATTCTTCTCAGGCACACTTTGCTGATAGGCAGGAAATCAATATAAGGCCCATATCCCAGGGAAGTTTTGCAAACCTGCCATCAGGCTGAACACCTTATGTAGTGTCCACTCCGATGAATACTTTGCTACTTTCACACCTCTATGATTAAGTCATTACCCAAGTGTTTTGCAGTTGTGATAAAAATCCAAGAATTAATACATTTAAAAAACCCAACAAAAGCAAAGGTGCATTATCTGATAAGCTAAAGCAATGGTGTTGCTTTCTGTTTTTAAAAGGAACGCTCAGGCAACGATTAAAATAAGTGACAATAAAACCATCACATTCATAAAATTGTAGTGTTAGCCCTGGGGATGTGCATAAGGATTGGGCTGTAACCAAGGCAACCCAAGCTTTGGGAGAAACTTTAAGCAGACATTTAAAGCCATGGTTCAAAGACAGAGTAAATCTGGCTGTGGGGCTACTTGTGACATATGGAAAGTGCCACAGCCACCCCATGCCAAGCACTGATCTTGTAACAGTTCACCCTCCTGATGTCCAGACGTTACTTTCGACCTCTTGCTGTTTGCATTCCAGAATAAAGGTGACACAGGAGCTGTACCACACGTTCAAGTGAGTTTAGCATAAAGTCGACTGTGGCCCCATCCTACCCAGTTCCAATTTGTCGGATGGGGTGATGCAGAGTCAGTCTGGCATTAACGACTGCAGACCCATAGCTTATAACACACCACGCAATGGCTTTAAGCCTATGCTTAAACAATCCCCACGGGCTTAAGTATTTTGCTAAATTAGAATCTGATTCCTGGACCCTTCTGTGCCCTGTCTGGCCACACAAATCACAGGATCAGGCCCTACTTGCCAACAAATGCTCAAAGAGGCCAAAGCAGCACAAGCAAAAACTCTGCAGACTCAAACAGAGGTGTCTGTGTGATCTTCCAATTCTTTCTGAAAAGAACAGTCTAGACTTTACCACAGGCAAAAATGAAGTGATATGTATATATATATATGTATGGTTTTTTTTTATGGCTAACATGTGCACCTTAAAAAGGTAAGGTCTCTTTGGCAAAAACCTCCTTTTTGGAACAGATAAATGAGCTTGTATTGCAAAATGTGATAAATATTGTGATGCAGGAATATCCCAGTGGTTCTTAACTGCAGTGCAACTAAGATAAATCCACCAGCATTATCTAGTCAAATCCTGAAGCATCAGAGGGGAGCTTTCCATGAACAGGTGGCTGATGAGAGCCTCTGTGTTACTTACATACATATATATGTACATATACATATATGCACTGTCTTCCAAATATATTTACAGCAATTTTAGAAGCCAAAACAACTTGCATAACAAAAAACAAAGAGAACTGTTTTGAATGCTTAATCTTTCCAACAGGCAGATGGCTTTGGTGTTTCAGGGGTGAAAACAAAAGCACGATAGTACCTTTGCCCAGATACATCAGGTCCAGAAATTAGCCACAGTACCTCAAACAATAACACGACTCAATCTTTGACAACCACTTTTCATCCATTGGGTATTTAATGTGTGAAAAGTTTGGCTCTCACCTCGCTGCCCACCAGCCCAGCTCACCACAGCACCCTAAATAACACAGATTGAGATCTGCACCTCCTGGCTGGCCCTTAGCTTTGAAATGGGCTGGAATCCCAAACCTACATACCAGCAAACTTTTTTGGAAGGAGAAAACAAAACTCCAATCTTTGACTAGTTTAATTCTCACAGCATCTCTGGGAAGTTGCAAAGAAGCTTTCTCGTACAAAGGACAAGAAGCCATAAGACTTTCCCAATTCCAGCCTACACCATGACCATGAAAAGCCCAAGGGCTCTGGACTTCAGTCCTCCTGAGTCTAGGCCACATCTGCAGGCAGATACATACGCTAGTTTCCATCACTTACCCCAGTGGTATTCATGAGAGTCTCATCAGCCACCTGATTTAACACTAACGAGAACAAAGTTCCGAGCTGCCTGATGAATGGCTTCTTGTATGCAGGGACGCATCAGGTCCTCCCCTGTGATTGCAGAGATGTAAAACCAGCAGTATTAGCAACCCTAGCTCTGAACTCCAGTGTTCCTGTAGGGTTAATTCAAATTGGATTCACTCACTAGTTGCAAGAGTTTTTGACTGCCGTGTGAAGGGGCTGCCTGTAAAAAGCGAGCTCAGAAGAATCTTACGTGCCATGGTTCAGGGAGCAGGAGCCCAGATGGAATCTGGCAGGAGTTGCCCTGCAAAAAAGTCTGTTTATGTCTGAGGCAGTAAAATTGTTGAAGGCCAGGGCAGAAATCTAGTATTAAAAGGCAAACGGCTTCAGTACAGCCGCTATGGTGGAGAACGATTGCTTTTGCTTAATGATGCCACCCTTCTACAAAGAAGGATTCATTTTGAGCTGTGAATTTTGGGAATCTTCCCTGACACCGAAGGAGTCTGCAAACATACAAACCATGTGAGGAACAGAGGTTTCAGATTGGTATTTCTGTGTTTGAATTTACTGTATACAGCTAAAGCTATTACAGTTCACAGGGCTCTTCCATAGAGGTTAGTGCTAAACTGGAAACAAATGCACCATTTGCAAGAGCTGTGGTGACTATTTCAGTTTTTCTTTGTTTCCTATCAGTCCAACTCATCTAACTTCTTTTTTCTTTTCTTCCAGCATTAGGATTATTGTATCAGGTTTCTGTTATAGAGACTGAAGATGAAAGCACTACATTTTCATTGTTTTTCAGTGGGCACATGAAAAAATTCTCCTAATACTGTTGAAAAGTCCCAGTTTGTCACTAATATGGTCAATCAGCCTGCAACTGTTTCAGTTCTGCTTCTTAATTTGTTAAGTGCAAAGAAAGGTATTCTCTTTGATTGCATCTGCAAATAAGATATTAATGTCAATTCAGTGATACGAAAATTACTCCCTCACTATGTAATTTGCACCTTAGTTATTATGGGTTTCATGAACAAGAATATTATAGCTGCTCAGAGTGAGCCACGAATTTATAATTTATTTTCTTAATTAGCAAAGTGAAAAAAAAATAAATTAAAAAAAGCCCACGAACACCAACATGACAAAAAGAAAGGTTATCTCTGCCCAGCTTTTTATTTACCTTGGCACATGTATTACCTCTGGACAGAAGATGAAAGTACTGCTCCTGGCCCAGCACTCTTCTGCAATGACATTTCACCAGAGAGGAGTAATAAGTGGCTGGGATGAAAATGAAAGAAAAAGAAAATCATTTGCTTTTTGGGATGGCACAGAGAAGGGTTTAACACCTTTTTCAGCTTTAAGACAAAAACTGAACAACTGCACGGCTCTTTGGCCGTTGTTGGAATAAGATTCCTTTTCCAATGGGAGCTCCAGACCATGCGTGTTAACTTCACAGAGACGTCTATCCCTGCTTCAGTTCCTGTTACAGCTGAAGGAAAATCCTCCCATTTCAATAAACAACAGAACAAGACTCCAGTGCTTAAATATCTACCCAGAAGCCAGCACAGCCATTGGTCCCACTACAGCGAGTGGCACAAGATTTTTTTGAGCATCGCTTTGCACTGCGGTTCTGTGTAGTCTATTTTTTTTTAATTTAACCACTGGGATTTTTAAAGAGTGTTTCAGACCCAGATCCTTGAAAGACCTTCTCAGCAGACATGATTGGCTTATACCTCTAGTAAATCAAAAGCACATTGTGTGTGTGTGTGTGTGTGTGTGTGTGTGTGTGTGCAAGCTCACATCTTTCTGTGGTTGCTCATATATTGTGAATTGGAAGCATCACTACTGAATAAGTTCATGTAATAGCAAAAATATAATTCCATAAGAAAAAGAAAAAAAAAACAACAACAACTATAGAACTGGAAGGGAATGGAGACAAGTAAGGACCTAAGAAGAAATACATAGACAACAAATCTGTGTCCCAAAAAGCTCAAGGTCACATCTACACCCTTAGGTGCAGTACTGCCAAAGTTGCGTTGTTTGAGTTGCAATGAGGAGTGCCAGTTCTGCTCTCACACTGGCTTCACATCCTCTGTGACAGTAGAGCTACTTCTGCTGGTGATCCATTAAAATCAAAGAAGATCCCCATACCTGATCAGATTTCCAAAATAACTTGGAAAAAGGAACTAGCTCAGCCACATTTCACCAGTTCAGAGCTTCTTCCACAGGCAGATAACTTAGCAGCTGGTGGTCAGACTTGCCACCCTTTGGAAGACTCACGCCTAAGTTAGGTGCCTGTTGCTGGCAGTCTGAACATGGCCACAGAACTGCCCTCTTGCTCCAAGGCCTTCCAGTTTTACTTTTTTTTTTAAAAACAAACACACAAACAAACAAACAAAGATTCAGGCCCTAGGCTGGAAAGAAATCATGCAAAGCTTGTGCAATTCCCCCAGCAGGCATCCTGGGGAGGGTCACAGTTGGTACTCAGAGATCAGTGCTGGCCTTGGCGGTCAGAGCCTGGATCCGAGCTGAGTTGCAGGTCTTGCAAAGGATGTGCCCGTCCAGAGGGTAACAGCCCTGATTGTCCCCCTCAGACAGGAGGCCGCCACAGTCCTAGGAAACCAGAAAACAGAGCAAAATAAGAAATATGAACGTTACCTGAAGAATCTATTAGGCATAGAAGCTCTCTTTACTCTCCACCTTGTAACAGGATCCACCCGAGTCAGCGCAAAGCACGAAGCTGAGGCATGTGATGACTTTCACGATTAAGACATTTCTCGATAAGAGACAATGCTGCAGAGAAGATGGGCTCCCAAGCTGTCTGCTGAATTCAATCCAATTGAAAATAAAAGGAGAATACTCCCTTCACATTTCTGAGGAAGGAAAGGCATTTAGCGCTGCAGAAAGCATCAAGCTTAACCACATATTTATTATTGCAAAAAAAGATAAAAAAGAAGCATCCCTGGAAAGGAAGTTTGCTACTAATATCTGACTACAGGTAATCTCCTTTGGACGAGCTGATGCCACAAAGCTGCAATATCCTTTTCTCAGGGGTGACCGCTAAGCAAACTCCCTGCCTGTCACCCATGACCAGAATTGTACGTTTGTATTGCAGTTGGTGCAAAAGGCTGAGGCTGAAAGGAGGATATCACTGAGATAGGAAGAGTGGAAATCTCACTACAAGGCCCCAAATCTGCCCCTGACACTTCAGCCTCTTGTAGAGCCAAGCATAGCTGCTAGAACACTGGGAATTACTCCTCTCTATGTGATCAGACAATCATTTGGGAACAAACTGCTGATGGAGCTGCAATGAGAACATTACAGTTTGCTTAGTGGCCATGTCTCTTTATCATAAATCTCTGTTTGTAAATACACCTGGCAAGGAAATGATAGGGAAAAAAAGACTGCTATTGCTCCACTTGAGATAGGTGAGACCTCCTCACTGGAGGTGAGGGCCAAAACACAGAAGGATTTTCAGACATTGGAAAAAGAATTGCTGTACTTTACCAGCTCATCTGTTGTCTTACTAACATGCAGCGCCTTTCAGAGTCGCATTATGCAGAGATGATAGCTTAGCAATCTTTGGACCAGCAAATCCACATGAGCATTTAAGGTCAAATCTGCAGCTGTTCAGTTGCCCATGAGATGATGCTCTAAGCTAACAACGTACTGATGCAGGACCTATGTTGGACTTCAAGGAGCTGCGTGCCTGTGTCCTCTGACATCCATGTGCATGAAGCCAGCATGGGGACATCCTGTATGATGAATTAGGCTCTGCAAAATTTAGTGTACGAATACCTAAATGCCTTACAAAAACTAGGCCTAAGTAATGAGTTGAACCTTGGAAACCAATAACAGACTGAAGTGAACCAGATGCCTCAAGTCTCAGCCTAGACCTTTAAGCCTCAGTCCATTCTTCTTTCCAGTTGGTTATTAAAACCTGCAACTGTGACAAGAAATACGTTTGGTCTCATTTTCTTACTCTGCCATCTGCCTGATATATTATCCAGCAAGTAACACTTGCATTGAAGAATTCTTGAAGGTTCCCTAACACAGCTGTTCCCACATGTTAATTGCTTTAAGGTGATTTTTCTTCTGTCTTCAGATTCTTACCATCAAAATTATATGAAGTGTGTAATGAAACTGAACAGGAAAGTACCACAAAAAGCACTGCACAAAACAAGAATGATCATGTTTATGCGTCCATTAAAATTCTTCAACCCAGAGCCATATGTTGAGTTTCCTGTACAATCTTGCTCAAATTCTAACACGCATAGCTTTCATTTTAAGAATATAAACATGAGCAACATTTGTATCCAAGCTATAATTTATGATGTTCTCAAATATTAAGCTCTAATTAACTGAGTCACATTCTCTTGCTCTCCTAATGAACCTGTTATAAACAAGGGACCTGATTTTCTTCTAATTTGCACTGATATAAATGAGGAAAAATTCCTTGCATGCTGAAGTCAGTGAAGTAATTTGACAGTAGAGACAGTGTTACAACAGAGTTCGCCTGTCGTGCATATAACAGAAGGCGCTGGTGATATTATACCAACCTTTGATTTCTCTCCTTCGTGCAATCAGAATACTAACCTCACACCGGTAGCACTGGACATGGAAGTCACGATCCAGGGCGACAATGCGTACAGTCTCCTCTTGTCCTGGGGCTGGCATGATGGGCTCCTTACACACTGAACATCTTGGTGCAAATTTCCTGAAGAAGGAAGAGACACAGACTGTGGTGTCTTCACTATGTGATAGGACTGGCTTGACTCAGGGTCACTTTGGAGATCGAGAGGAGCACAGGCCTTTTCTTTCTATCTCATGTTGTCCACCATACAACCTTCTCCCTAATTTGCTGTGTTCTGGTTTTGTACTCTGCAGCTGCCCATGAGAAGTGGTCATCTCTGCTCCCAGGCAAGTGGGCGTCCATGGGAACATTTAGCCTGTGACGAGTCATTATTCACTGTTTTGGTTCAAAACCTATGGATACCAATTCCCTGGCAGCAGTTTCTCCTCACAAAAAAATAGAAGCTTATACCTACAGAATCTACTGCTGTTTAATGAGAGCTGGGGTCACGGGCTACGCAGTGACAGAGGGCAAATGCTCATGGCAAACATCAGAACACAAGGAGATCAAAGACCGTTCTCCTATGCAATGCCTAGGAAAGATTGACTCTGCCACCCAGTCTGTGAAAGAAACCACCCCAGAATTAACTAGCTTAGAAAAAAAATTAAAATCTATCTGTATTAGGAATAAAGAAAAATATTAATTTCTCTGGCAGCAGATGAAAGATGCCTGTGTAGCTGCGATCTAACAAAAAAATGAATTAAACAGTGGCTATAGCGAGCGCTCTGAAAAATAACTTACATGGATCATGATATGACCGGAGCTGTAATGGCAGTTAATTATATGCTGCTTCATGCAGGCGCTTCCTTGTGCCATTTCGCTCAACTGTGGTGTTTAAAAATACTTCACCATTTCTCTGTCCAGGCTGCTGTGGGGAATTCATTATAAGCCAAATATTAAGTCCAGCGACCCAGAAATGACTCTTGCAGATTTCAAGGGATGTGGATGCGCTTCTGCGGGCCCCAAGCTAAAGAGGTAACTAAGAGACAGTGTGGACCTCAGGTACAGTGCTGTTATCAAAACAATGCACAAGATGTCGAGCACTCAACTTCCAGACCAGGAGGAGGGCATCACTGACCACTTAAAACAGGACTGGCCAAAGTGCTGCTAAATACGTGGAAGCCTTAAGACGTTTTGAACGTTCCATTAGCTCTTCTGCTGCTCCCATTATCTTCCCCCCTCAATCTTTCACTCAGCAATTTCATGTCCTTTGCCTGGACTGACAGCCTCCTGCTTCTTGCTCTCAGGGCTGTAAGATCCAGATTTATTCACAGTCAAAGGACTTCAGGATGGGACAGCAGCTCTTGCTCCCACTCTTTCTCCTGAAGGCTCCAGGACTTGGGGAAGAAGCAGTCTCCAAATCTTAAGTGGGTTGGAAGGAAATCTTTCAGGAGCATGACTGATGCTTTAGCCTCACATTGGGCCTCTGTTCAGGACCAAATTTTATGTTACACATGACTGCTGGCACAGAAAAGCAAGACAGCACACAGCCGCCTCAGCACCTGTCAATTAACTCAACTTATCTGAGCTACAGGGAATGTCCTTATATTGGATTTTAGCATGCAAGTTGACTGTGGCTGCTTTCCATTCTGTCAAGTCAGTCTGCTTCTCTGAGCTTTCAGGCCCACACACTGATGTCACGAGGCTCAAATTAAGTCTACCCTCTTAGAAATTAAGAGATAAATGGTTGAGATGTAAACTCACATTTGTCAGTATTGATTTCCTCTTTTAATTGAGGGGTGTAACGTGTCTGTCTTTTCCATACAGTGGAAACATTTGTGCTCTGATTATATCTACATGTCTTCCTTAGATGTGATGATGGGGGTGGTAGCATGGCAGCAACAGAACTGCCTTGCAACTATGTCTTTCAACTTGCTTTAAATGGCAGTTTCACCATAAATTATTAGCAGGGCTGTATTTTTAGCAGCTTTTAAAAGCTAATTGGCAACCAGAAACAAGAGAAACTATGAGTGTCCTGTGGCCACCTAGATCCCTCTAAATGGTAAGCAAACACCTGCTGAGCGCAACAGCACAGGACCTCTCTTAATTGCTCAGGTGGAAGAAAGGGAGAGACACTGATGTGGAAGCACAGGTACAGCCAAGGAGAAACGTGCACATGCTGAGCTCAGGGAAGGCAGGGAGGAGTGCAGAGCATTTTAAATAGATGAGCACAGAGGTTACCCATAAATTCGGATCTACACAAGACAGAGATCAAGCATTATCAGCCACTAACCAGTTAATCTTGTATGCCACACTATGCCTGATTGAAGTAAAGCTCTAACTACTTCGCAGAGTCTTCAGAGGAAGTGGCAGAGGGTTCATACCTTTCTGGACAGTCAGAGAGAATAAGGAATATTTTTAGGGACAAGAGAGACAGACAAGAAACAAAGCAAGTGAGAGCAGCTTGGGTCGTACTTATGGAAATCCTCGATGCAGTGGATGTTCCCACCAGCATCCACGGTGAAGGGAATCCCATCCAGGCTGCGATGGCACATGACACAGGTGAAGCAGTGGGGATGGTAGGCCTTCCCGGTGGCTCGGAGGATCCTTTCCATGATGGGCTTTGCACATACACTGCATTGCTCCAGTGTTTTCTGCAAACAAAACAAACACAAGCAGGCGTCAGCTCCATCTCAGCAGGATGTTCGTAAAGGTCAGCTGGGCTGGAGGCTACTGCTACTCAGCAGCTTTAGGAGCTTTCATTTCTTCTAGATAACTGCAATACAATCAACAAAGAGCATGTTAACAGCATGGGGCCTGGATCAGGTCTTTAGTATTACGTGAAAATGCAAAGCTGTGTAATCCCCGGAAAAAAAATCACAGCCTTCACTCAACAGCTCTGAGAAATGATCAGGGATGACCTAACAGGTGGATGTATCTGAGATACTGAAGTTCTCTAGCCAAGAACACATGAGAAAGTTGTGCAGCTGGAGTTTCTGCATGTTTGCCTCCATACTGCCCAGTCTGAATTACTTTTTGCAGCTGAGTTATCAGACAAAACCTCCATGAAGCACAGTGCAAAGCTAGAGCTCACACTCCTGGGGCTCTACAGAGACATCCTAACTACTCCACCCTAAGAAATCCTTATCTGTCTGGTAAGTAAGCCTTAATCTTCCTCACCTACCAGGAAAACTTCTGTCAAATTCTAGGAGTAAACAAGACAGTGCCAGGAACAACAGCATTGCATGGGCACGAGTTCAGGATGACTTCATGTGATCATTTATCTCTATCTCCCAATGTCTGAGATGATGACTAAAATGCTATTTCCAAAGCCATCCTCCTGGCCTTACAGGTATGCCAACCTCATAGGTGTGCCAGCCTGCTCCTGAAGCACTGGAGCCAATAAAACACCCTTCAAGTGGGCTACACTGAGCAATTCGTCTCATTTCAACTCTCACTCATCCCTGTAGTTGGTTATAGAAGCACCAGAGTAGTTTTGCTCCAAACAGCTGCCCAAGAGACACTTCTGACCCTAGCTGTGCAAGTTGCCATTTCAAACCAAGCACCCAAAACACATGTGCCATGAATCAAAGGTGCAAAACACATAAACACTACCAATAAATCTATGATTTGGGTCATTTCAGTGGAGCTTAGAAGAATGAATTTCACTCACTATCCTTGCTTGATGCACCTGAAGATATCAAATGTTATCAGTTCGTGTTTGAATCTTGGATAAGGCAGAATATCTATGGTTATAATACTGATTATGGCTGAGATACACAGATATGAGGACAGGAAAAAAAGAACACATTTAATGGGACAGAAACAGAAAAAGCTGCTGAAAGGCAGATCATGTTGACAAACAAAGGAAGGCTGAAGTTCTTTTTCCTCATGCAACAAAACTCCAAGGGAAAATAGTACTTTGACTGACCACACTGCCATTGCTTCTTCGAGCCAATATTCTCAGGGGCAATATCCAGTTCTTACATGTACAGCCAAAATGTACTGTCAGGAGATGAATCACCCTCAGAAAGGTTACTTCTACACTCACACATATGTATTGGATGTTATCTCTGGGCTGCAAATCACTGGTAAGATACAAACATATACACACAGCTTCATATCAGAAGATCAAAAAGGTTGGTTCTGGAAAGCTTGATATGAAGAGTCCTGAATTGAAACCCATATGAGAACTGCCTAACATTTACATTTGTAAAGAGAACGCAGCCAGACTAGCACTGGTTTCAGCCTGGATTTTGCTTTATGATTTGTAATAGTGGGCAGGAAAGAATAATTGCTGGCCTTTCTGTCTGGTTGCTGTCACCATCATCATCATTGTAACAGTAGCTGGTATGCCAGAAAAAGCAAGGTCAGTAATTTTGCACTTGGAGGAATAACCTGGCAAATATACCATTTTGCTCTGCATAAGCAGATCACATCATCTCAGTCCATATCCCTGCTGCTTTCTCTCACCACCATGGAAGGAGTGCTGAATACCTGCAGATGCAGACTGCATCACTCGTAAAGCATCATCTATGACAACTTGCAGGTATGGAGCATTTGCCTCACCAAGTCGTTGCTTGCTTTGTTTCCAAGAGCTGTCAGCAACAGAGGCCAAGGGTTAATGAGAACGGGACAAACAGAGCAAAGCAGTTTCTCAGGACATGCTCCCAGCCTCCAGCAATTTCTGGCTTAGGGCTTCCTGAGCCGCAGCTCGACCTCTCTGCTTAATAGTCTCGAGTGGATGCTCCCCCCATGAACTTGCCTAATAGTCTTCTGAATTCCAATAAACACTAAGCACCCACAACACAACCAGGAATTTCACAGCTTACTTTCATATGGAGAGCTGCTCTGCTGACAGCAAAGCTGAGCACAGCCACCCTGGTACCATGAGCAGAGCAGAAACCAGCAGCTGCGATCCATCCCCAAGCAGCACGGCCTGGAAATGCTCTCACTACAGATCTAGTGCAACTCCTACTCACATATCTCAGAGAGACAGAGTTCAGGCTGCAAGGGATCATCCCAGCCATCTTGTCTGACATCTTGTGTGATGCTGGCTTTGCTGGGAGTTTTGCAGTGACCGTAACAGCAGGTAATCATGTTTCTGGGTTATGCCTTCAGAAAACACAAGTCTTTGCTCCCAAATCGCTGCTCAGTTGCACCATTTGACATTTTCACAGCATGTCAAGCGGTTTAAATTAGCAACTCTTGATTAAACCTTCTGTACAATCCAAAAATCAGACCTGAGAAATTAATTCTTTTCATCCTTCCAAGTCTGTACCAGTGAGGAAAAACAAAGTCATTAGATTCAGACTCCGGTTCACTCCCTGTCTGGGAGTGTATTTGCTTAAGCCTCATTCCCTGCTATATCCTTGGCTCAAACCCTTCTCTTCAAGGTGTTACCACACGATGCCAAAGGGAAAGCTTCCTCGACTCACACCCATTTGACATCAGGTTGCTGTAAGGCAGGATTTGGCCTGCGGAGCTAACAGGGTTTTCTCTGATTCTGTAATCAGGTTATCCCACATGCCTAAATGCAGCCCCAGCAGCTAACAACCTGCACAAAGGTATTTCTGCACATGATGAGAATGCCATCACTCTAGGATTTTGCTCTCGATTTTGCTCTCTTTCAAGTTTAGCTAACTCTCCTAGCACCTCCTGGAAGTTTCAGGCCTTCACAAAGCCAAAAAAGATGAAGAAAAATAAAACGATGGCACTGATTTTTACCTTTTCTCCTGAGCTGCCACTATCAGCCCCAGGGTGCATCTGATGAGCTTACACAGAACAGCATAGTAAGGCATAGAGAAGAAAGGTAAGAACCAGCTATGGAACACCAGTCCTAGGCACTGTGGTCAATTCATGTCATAAGAGTACAGCCCACAAGTCCAGGATGGGCTGAGGCGGAAGTTTATCACATTTTGGCTAAGAGGCAGGCAGTAGCCTTCCTTACTGAGACACTCCAGTCTCCAAATCTAATTTCTGGAGGCTGGAAAAGAAAAATTGATATAATGCATTTCAAAGTGGAAAGCTGGTCCCACATTAAAGACTGAGTGTGGGTCTAGGCCTCTTGTGAGCACAACATCCACAGCAAAGATGTCACCTGGGGAGAATAATGAATCATGGAGTTATAATGGGTGAAGGAGATCTCTAAGATCAACAAGTCCAACCCCAATTCATCCCACCATGCCCACTCACCACATCCCTCAGTGCCACATCTCCACGGATCTTGAACACTTCCAGGGACAGTGACTCCCCCACCTCCCTAGGCAGCCTGTGCCAGTGCATCACCACTCTTTCTGCTAATAAACTTTTCCTAATATCCAATCTGAATGCACCCTAATGTATCTGTAAAGAGAAATGAATCCAAGCAAAGATACACTAAAACACAGGCAAAGAACAACTGAGCAAGATGCCCACGAGCAGCTTGTGGGTAAAAACTTGCAGACTTAAATGCAGCCCTATCAACAACAGAGCAAACGCATATTTGACATTAAGTGGTGAGGAAATTGTTGAAGAGACTCCCTACAGCAACACTCGGCCCCTCTGAAATAGCAGACACCAAAGGGAGTTGCTCTGCAGATGGTGGGTTTAAACGTGGGAAACAAAGTGAGATTTCAGTCTGCTGGGAAACACTTCTGGGGTGCAAAAGCCACCAGAGACTGAAAGTGGGAAGTGGCTGAATCCCCTCTTGAAAACTTAACATCCCAGATGGAGAGCTGGCAAACAGCTTCAGGAACTGAGCTGTGGTGACAGGCAGGCAGTGTGCAGAGCATCCTGCTTCCCTAATGCTCTAGGTAATAACCCCCAGGACCAAATGTTGGGTGACAGCAGTAACTCACAATATGGTGCAGCAGAAGGATCCTCCCACAATGACCTAGCAATGAATACAGAAGAAAAAACACAGAGATTACTCATTGCTTCTGATGTATAGAATCATAGAATCATAGAATCACCAAGGTTGGAAAAGACCTAAAAGATCATCCAGTCCAACCATTCACCTATTCCCAATAGCTCCTACTAAACCATGTCCCTCAATACAACATCCAGTCTTTCCTTGAACACCCCCAGGCTTGGTGACTCCACCACCTCCCTGGGCATCCATTCCAGTGCCTGACCAGCCTTTCCGAAAAGTAATACTTCCTCATGTCCAGCCTGAATCTCCCCTGCCGTAGCTTGAAGCCATTCCCCCTGGTCCTATCACTAATGACACGAGAATACTGGCAATTCATCTGGAGCGCTAATGAACATAACCTCTTCTGCACCGCGAGCAGCAGACAGAGCAGAGCTCACACACAAAGACATGAGGATGGGCTAGCCTGTTTTGCTGGGAAAAGGGAGGTAAGTTGCTGGAATAAATTATATTGGCAACTCATGCACAGGGACATGAACTTGCTTTGTGAGCACTACAGAAGAAACGTTTTTGGAGGGACTGCACGGAGGAGATGGTATTGGCTGCGGGAACCAAAAGTGACTGTTGAGCTAAAAACAGGCACACGGTCAACTGCTGTAGTTGAACTGTAACTTAGTAAAGTGTGGTAAGAGAATTGCTTTAAATCTTGTGACTCCATCCTTCATTTCCTCCAACTGTGAGGAGAGAGGAGCGGGAGACATTTTCCCCATCGTGGGATGAATTTTGAGGCTTGAAAATATTTCC